TGTATCATTTTATCACAACACAAACACAGCGCAAAAAACATTTATAACATAAATCGCTTATTTACAGTTTAGCGTTCCTTCATTTTTTTTATAATCCCCCTTTCCTCAGCCTCTCATTGGTGTGGCAGTATTAAAGTAAAGTGTTAGGCCTCATTTAGGCGTCATTCACACCAGGGCACAAGCGTTTCACATGATGGTTTCTGCATGATTTTTGAAAGAGCATTTTTGGCTGTTTTTAGTCGCGTTTCAGCGCTGAAACGCAATTAAAAATGCTCAAAAACATGTATTAAAATGGGGGCGGGGGGTTTAGTTGGGGGGGGGGGGCCTTACAAAATTTTGCTATGGGGCCCTGTAAAAGGGGGCAAAGGTCCACTTTAAGGGCTTGTTCACACATGCCCATTGAGCTGTGTCTTTCTGCACACCTCTGCACACCTCTGCACATGTATGGTGTGAACAGGGCAAGCTGAACTCCGGCTTTATCTTCAGCCCTGCACAGTAGCACCAGAACCTCTCCTCCACTAAAATTGCTCACTCTGATTTCACTGCACAAAATGAACTTCTCAGAGGCTGCAGCATGTCAGATAGAAGGTTACTTCACAGGGGTTACATCACAGGGCATTGCTGGGAAATCTCATCTGTAAACTGCATAATCTCAGGATATCTCAGGGACTCAGGGAAAGGCATTTTCCTCCCCTGAGATGATGTGCATGGTCACATGTCCTAGTCACATGTGCCAGAGTTCCAGGAAGTAAAGGGAGATGGATTCATCTGCCCGTAGTAAAAAATGCTCACTCTGATTTCACTGCACAAAGTGAACTTCCCAGAGGCTGCAGCAAGTCAGATAGAGCCAGTCTCATTTCCTAGCTTGAGGACATCCGGCATGATCTAGCCCTTCCTTGTAAACGTACACAAAGGGCATACTGCTCCAAGTTGGTCCATGCTTGCCCCTACAATTGGTGGGTGCACATCCAGCTCATTACTGAAAGTATGTACAATAATGGATGATGACACTCAAGTTTCAAATCTTACTTCCCTATTCATTGTATTTGATAAAGTAGGGTATAAAAGAAAAAGAAAAGTGCTCATCATAGAGATATGATTAGGTGCTCATTAGCGTTAAACAGGTAAGAGGTCTCCCTTTTCCTGTTGTACTCTACTACTAAAAAAGTCAGATTTTAGCCCTTATTCACACTGTAATCGGACAGCACGTACAGCTCCGTGCTGTGTGCAGGGCCGTACCAAGCAGTTCCCGGGAAGGACAGGTGCTGCGTGTGATTAGTACGCAGCCCCGGCCCTTCTCTATCGGACTATGCGGCCGTATGCCCCCCTACGCTCACCTGCCCTGCACGTCCGTGCGGGTGGGCGTATCCCACCCCCGCGGCCTGCTTTGGGGGGGGGGGGGGGGGGGGGGGGGTGTACGGCCGCATACTCCCATAGAGAAGGACAGGGGCTGCGTACTAATCACACGCAGCACCTGTTTTTCCGGGGAGCTGCTCGATACGGCCCTGCACGTAGCACGGAGCTGTACGTGCGGGCTGATTACAGTGTGAATGAGGGCTTAATCTGGACTGCTGCCATCCATTATTGTATGGAATATAACCCTTTCCTCTCCACGCTGACTATCCCTGGCCCACCCTTCCGGTCATTTGATTTCAGTTCTTCCAATCCTGGAGGCTCAGCGTCACATCACATGTGGGTGTTACCTAGGGCGCTCTGCTTGCAAATACAGTCTGCCTAGGAATGCCCATTCATCCAAACTGACATCATCTAGCCATCACAACATGATGATATTTGAGCCAGCCTACTGCATGCATCAGGGCTGAAGCACTATTCACAACTGGTGCATGCGTGAACGCATGCAAAATAACATGACTATTGTTAATGGCAGCCCAAATGCGGCAAGGAAGACACGCATTTTTACATGCACAACAACGCGCAACAAACACGCAGTCAAAAATGGATGAAGCTCATCGCTCAAAAAAATGTATGAACGTCTTTGCCACATTTGTTGCGCATAGGGCAGTCCAGTAAAATAAATGGGCTGCCCTATGCGGACGTGCAACAAACAGGGGAAAACATGCATTTACAGGTCTGTGGGCTCTTGATAGGAGTGATAGGAGTACTGAGGGAGGGTGCTGTGATGTTATCAGGAAGCTATGTAAAACACCATGTTGGCACCTCCCAGCAGCCATGATCTGTTTGCATAGAGAAACACAGAGACACAATGATGACATCGCTGAGTCTAAAACAAGGTATGTATGGAAACAGAAAGGTTTTATTTAAAGTTTGAATTAGCATGTTGATGAAGGGGAACGGAGAAGATTCAACGTCAGCTTTAATATGCAGAACCAGTCCCAGTTTCAACTAATACGAGTTTTCTTTGATCCTCACTAGCTTACAGTGGCACGTGCCAAATGTCAGCGGCATCCGCCACCATGAAAGAGAAGCAGAATGAACACACAAGAAGTCTTGTAACAGAACAGAAGGCAGTAAGTTGAACACTGGAAGCAGCATGTTGGAGTCTTTAGGGGATGTGGGCTGAGAAGTCCAGTCTTTGTTACCCAGCCTGGAACTACAAACTGGCTCATATGGCTTCTGGCTGATTCTGCAGAAAGGCGATGAGACGATCTGCAGAGCGTGGCATTCCAAGAAGAGGAAATACGTGTTTGTGGTATTTTCTACAGTGACCTACATTAGGTCTACATCAGAGAGGAAAATGAACTATGCATTTGACTCTGGGCAGCTTCTTCTGTCACTGCAGATGAAGAACTTTCTTTTCCATCTTGTGATTGTTTCCTACAGACTTGTTATCCTTCTTACTTGCTGAATGCACAGATGAAAGCTTTACTTTGTTCCAGAAGCACTTTGCAAAAAAAGTCTGTGTAACAAGATTGCTGTTTTAAGCTCTTGGAATCTTGGGTCTGGAGAATGGGACATATTATTCACTTGTGAGCATGAGATTTAACCCCTCGTTGGGTACTGTTCAAATTAAATTAAAATTGATGTACCACAAATGATGCTGCCATCTGGGATGGGTTAAATCTGATGCTCACATGAGATTAACATTTAACTACCACTTGAACCGTCACACTATATTCAATGTGTACTGTAATAGATCTTATCTAACTCTTTAATTCATGTCTTTGTACCCACACGATGGTCTTTTCTTCTTCCCAGGAACCTTTACTGGATCTTAGCCGAATTCAAGACATTGGCTATAGTAGTGTATGTTTTATAACTTCTTTTGGATAATGAATGATTTGCACTTTGAAATCACAGTGGATGAAGAAAGTACGGCTAATATGAAAACACCATCATTTGTATTTCTGGAGAACTATCACCTCAAACAATAAGGGCTTGTTCACACCATGTCCATCGAGCTGTGCTTTTCTGCACACCACTGCACATGTATGGTATGAACAATTGTTTTCTATGTGCTATGTTCACACCATGCATGTACATTGGTGTGCAGAAAAATGCAGATCAGGTTTGAACAATCATGGTTTGAACAATCCCTCAGAGTCAAGCAGGCTTATTCAGTAGGCTTGTTAACACCATGTCTGTTGAGCTGTGTTTTTCTGCACACCACTGCACATGTATAGTGTAAACAATTGTTTTCTGTGTGCTCTGTTCACACCATGCATGTACACTGGTGTGCAGAAAAATGCTGTTTAGCAGGCATGGTGTAAACAAGCTCTAACCCTACTGAAAAAGCCTGCTAGACTTGTTCACGTTTGGTCCGTTGAGCTGCATGTTATGCACACCATCGCACATGTGTGGTGTGAACAATTGTTTTCTCTGTGGCCTGTTCACACCATACAAGTGCAGTGGTGTGCAAAAAATGCAAATCGAGGGACATGGTGTGAAGAAGTCAAGCAGGCTTTTTCAGTAGCGTCTAGGCTTGTTCAAACCATGTTTATTAAACTGCGTTTTTCTGCACACCACCGCACATGTATAGTGTAAACAAGGCCTTAAAGTGAAAGGTGCAAAGGGCAGTAAACTATAGCAGCGTTTCTCAACCTTTTTTCACTCATGGCACCCTTAAAAAGTATGCAAAATCAGAAAGGCACTACAGTCTAAAATTTAAGTGGGGACCCCATACAAAAACACACAAAAAGTGGGGTTCCTCCCTTTGCATCAAAGTTCTCCCTTCAAATCACGAGCCCCCATTCAGATCAGAGCCCCCCCTTCACATCAAAGTCCCCCTTTACATCAGTAACCCCCCTTCACTTCAGAATTCTCCCTTTTACATAAGAGTTCCCCCTTCTCATCAGAGTCCTACCATGAGACAATATTGAGGCACCCCTGTGTGCTCCAGGTTGAGAAAGGCTGATCTATATCATTCAATCACAATTTATTTTATGAAAGCTGGAAAGTACTAGATGGATTCTGATTGGTTGCTCTTGTTGTTGCAGATTGCACGTTACTACCTGCACTGATCTACTAAATAAGTCCAAAGATCTTCTACTATGATGAATCCTATATAGTCTGGTTTCATTTTAATACTGATGACAGAAAATGACAGATCCACAATATCCCTGTGCTTTATTCTTATACCTTTTTTTTTTTTTTTAATTCAAACAAATTACTGCCAGTATTTGTCAGTATACTAACGCTGTTCTAAATGGAATTCTAGATATTATGGGAGTTTACATGTGTTCGTCAGATTATCTGCACCTTTAACATCTGAATGTAATCTAACAACTGAATTGTTTGTGATATTTCAATCAATGCAGGATATTAGACTCTCGCAGCTCCTGTCAGCTTTGTGTGCCAGACTTCATTAGGGCATAGCCAGGCAAACAAAAGTGTAGTAGACGATCCTCTGCTTTGTGTAGATTCTGAAGGTGGGATCACCCAACCAACTTGTTGGATTCTCCCTATAGGGTCTACGGGACCGGTTGGGTGACTGCCTGCCATAAAAATGGGTATAAAGCTGGCTACATCACAAACTAGGGCAGGAAATGTGTGGACCATCTTATATCATTGGAGGCGAGGTCACTTTCCTAAATCAGTAAGTGACTAAACCCAGAACTGAATCATCAGCTTGGAAAGGAATTACCTGTAAAGACCATAATTGTATCAATGTTTTTGGTTTTTATATGTACTTGAAGCAACCTGAAACTCCTTCAGTACCATACGCCCAATACTGCATACTTTCTTACCCAATTTATTACTCTTTATGTAAAGAGCTTTTCAGCTCAGTTGTCTTCTACTAACTGGTCAGTCTTTGGACAATGAATGTTCTTGACAAATCAAAACTGATTCTTATTGGAAGAAAGTAAAAATGAACAGTACGTCTGAGTTTTTACAATGTACCGTCCTGAAATCACAGTTGTCAGAATGATATAATGTTCTATTTGCAACTGGGACTATGTAAATATTTCTTTTTCACCTGAATAAATTATAAATGCTCCATTGTAAATGATTATCCATGACTTGTTATATGTAGATGTTTACTTGAATTGTGTGGAAGCTGCTGCTTGGTGTGGCATATTTATTGCGAGGATTCCCCACTGTCTTGGGGATTTAAAAAAAAACAGGCCAGAGTTGGGTTTTAACATTTTTAATTATTATAGTCCAGGCCATAATAAAGGAAGTAAATATGCAAACACTATGAGGTCTATTTCTAAACCATTCACAGAGCTATTCGCGCTGCAAATCTCTGTGAACATTCATTTTGTATGAATAGAGGCAAAAAGGAATGTTCTTAGTACATTCTCATTTTAGGTCAAATGTAACATAATACTTCATTATGACCACTAGATGGAGCTGAGGATCATAGAATATAAGTATTTAATTCCTAGGCTTCTCAGCTCCATCTAGTGGCCATAATGGAATATTACATTACATTTGACTTAAAAAGTAAATTGACTAAGATTTGACTAATCTACCATTCCACTGACATTAACAGTGCCTGTAGGTGGCAGCCAGCTGCACTATCAATGTCACTGGAATGGTAGATAGGTGGGAGCCAGGTGTACACACCTTTCTAGAGACATTCTCACCTATCTGCCATTCCAGTGATTATACAGTGCTTGTAGGTGGCAGTGGCAGTGTCAATGGAAAGGTGTATACACCTGTTTTTTTTTATCCACCATTCCAGTGACACTGACAATGCATCTGGCTTCCACCTACAGGCACTGTCTGTGTCACTGGAATGGTGGATAGGTGGCAGCCAGGTGCGCTGTCAGTGTCACTGGAATGGTGTTCTGGAATGGAGCTCTACTTCAGCTCTTCTATACTGGAAACTTCACAGTTTTGTTTTACTAATCAGCCCTTCTAATGGGCCCCCATCTACCCCAGGCCTTATAGCAGCCAAATGGGTTGTTATGGCTATTTTTACATCACTGATAGGGATGACCATTTTCAGCTTGGTTTTTAAAAAGAAAATGTCCAGAGCTGTCATTCTGGTCCTGGTTTCACTATCTTGGGAATCTTTGATCTGACGTACATTCAGATTGGGAGTTCAGACTTCACTGGCTACTGAGGCAAGAGATTGGTGATATTTGGTAGGAATTAAGAGCACAGCTACATCATTGCCAAAATTGTCTAAATTTGGGCCCGGAGTGGACTGTAAGGCTGCTCCTCACACTATTAGGCCCCGTTCACATTGAGCGATTTATCGCGCGGTAATTCCCGCGATATCGCGGCAAATTACCGCGCGATATCGCTCTCCAATGCTTCTCAATGGGGCAAAGGGTCCTGCTGTCGCGGGTCGTGTGTCGCTACAGCAGGACCCTTTTTGGAGCGGATTCAAATGCTTGCAAATCTCGCGATATCGCGCAAAATGCAAATCGCGCGACAAACGCGCGATTTGCATATCGCGGAGTATGGGGCCTAAGTTAATAGAAAGGTGATGTTTTTTAAATAATTTGAACTGTCCGCTGGCTACATGTTTGTCCCATGTCAGCTCCCATCTTGCTATTCTCTCAGGTTCACTCTATGTAGTACAAATTTCAGCCAGCAGAGGTCCCCACAGTACTTGTTGTGACAAGATGCATAGAACGTGCCATACAAAACATTATTACAATGGTTTCCTGCAAATGCTATTTTGCAGTTAATATGAACCACAGTAAAACTTTTGTCAATGCAACAGTGAATACAATGATTATCAAACATCACAATAATTACAATTAATATAAATTATGTTCATCACATTTAGGGTCGAGTTGCTTACTAATATTTATTTCATACCAGCAGATAGTTAAAGGGGAGCTCCAGGTTAAATATACTGTTGTGTAGCCAGTTATGTGATTTACACACCCACCGATGCTAAACAATTTACTTTGTATAACAGGAGATAAGTAGAAGCTAAAAAATGAGAAAAGGATCCTAAAATATCACGGGCTAGCTGGATACACAATATTATACACTATACACAATATTTACCGTATATCAAATATTTCATTTTTACCTGACTAAAATATTTTTCGCTGACAGCTCCATGTCAGCACACAAATGGGTAATGTCTCCGCCCCTCTACCAATCTGATAAGATTGTAACTCATAAATTTGACCCATCCCTAACGACCCGTATTCCTCCTTTTTCCTCCTTCTACAGTCTAATAGAGCATTGGTGGCTTACCTGGCTGAGGCAAATCCTTGGCTGTCCATCCGCATGGATAATGAAGTCTTGGATGTAGTCCCCCTGGTCATCTTAATAGGATTGTGATGGGGAGCCTCGCTGTTATTTGAGGCATGCTTCTGTGGCCAATAAAACAGGGACCTGCTTGAGTGTGGTTGTGGCCCTGGCTTCCAGGGCAGGCTAGCATGCTGCCTATTGGGCGACTGGTCAGTGGAACGCACCCTGTGCGTTCCAGCTGCGGACCATATTTTTGCCTTTCCGGCTAGGGATCTCCTTGGCC